CATCCAGACTAGTGTGCTGAGTGGACAAACATCTGATCAGCTGTTTGTCGGCTCAGCGCGGCAGCCATGTAAATTTAAATGAAGCCGCGATCATTTAAATCACGGCTTCATTTGCCTTTGCCAAAACAACAAATCTACATGGCTCCGTCGACGGAGCCATGTAGTTTAGACGTACCCAAAAAGTTGGAAGCCAAAAGGAAAAGAGTAGAGAAGATGGGTCCTCCAAACTTGCCAGGAAAGAAGTCATTTTCGAGAAGTCATTAAGAAATCACCTGGTTAAGAGACCTGGTTCTTGAAGGACTAGAGGATATAGAGACAGTCAGTCAAGGCTTTGCTGGCCCATATACTAAGAAGTTGCCTGTTGTGTGGTTGAGTGCCTGGCTAGGACTAACGGAGTAAAGAAGAGTGCTTCTCGCCAATAAAGCCTGACAGACAGTGTTTAAGGATGGCTTTGATTATATAGTTGAGATTGCAGAGAGAGAAGGACCTGATGGTGTTGGCCCAGAGATAGGACTGGAGATACAAGGACCCAGTAGGAAGAGGCCCAGGGAAATAGCAGCAAAAAGGAAGTAAACAATACATGGCTGTTGTGTACAGGGTGCCTGGGTTGGAATTTGGAATAGCGTGTGGGCTACATTTCCATACCAGCCATAGGTAAAGAAGGAGACAGGCCTTATTTAGGAGTCTGAACAAAGGACTGAATTTAAAAGGGCCCAGAGCCAGGGTGAAGGGGCAGAGAGAGACTATTTATTGGACTCTCAATACCTGGGAATGGGTTCATTTGTACTTTGTGAGTTGGCCAGAGGCCAAGCCATTAAAGATCTGACAAGCTGACTAGCAGACTACATAGGATACACGGGGCAAGAAAAGGACCAGCTGGAGGCAATCCAGAGGTAACAGCTCTGTACACTAAAATTTAAAAATAAAAAGAATGAAGTGGGGAACTTTCGATGATGGAAATGTGGTAAAACATGTTTCTTTCACTATGAGAAAAATGCTTTGACAAATCAAAATAAATTAAAAAGTATATACAATATTTCCTAATCTGAAAAATAAGCACAGACTCCATGATATGGTAAAGATCTGAACTCATCAAACAGTTCCCTTGGGATATATCCCTTCATTCCCCCATTAGGTTTACAGCTAGCTTCTTTAAATCTACATTGCTACCCTTCTAGTCTTGTGGAGGGTTGCCAGATGGTTTCAACAAAAATACCGGCCACCCTTGGCATGACATCACAATCTACATTACATCTTATTTAGAAAATATCAGACATTTATATTTTCTCATTTATATTTTCTCAATTTGTTTCCTGAACAGAAAACTCAAATACTGGACTGTCCGGTTCAAAACCAGACACCTGGCAACCCTAGTCTTGTGGCTATATAACCGACATGCCCGCCTTTAATAGGGTGTTTCTTCTAAAAGCAGATTTTGGACGTGGAGAATTTGTTGGGAAAAAAAGATGAGTTTCCTTGTATCTTATATTAGATAACGCATCTTTCAAAATAATTTTATGTGGAAAACTATCATTTTGGGTGTCTCTGCTCTTGCTTATCTCCACATAGCCTTTTAAAGCAGCATGGTGCTAGAATGGAATATTTCAAAAGCACTACAGATTTGGAACCAAATCCTCAGCTGGAGTTAGACAACATAACTCCATTCAAGTAAATGGAGCACCATTAATTTACACATGCTGGTGATCTGACATTTAAAATGTAGTCAGATTCAGGACAGAACATAATTTGAAGGCTCTTAATTTTCTTACTAATTACTTCAAGTCCCAACAACCCACTCTCAGCAAAAGAAAAGAAGAGAATACTGTCTTAAGGAAACTCGAGCCGATTGTCTATGCATGTGTGTGCCTGTAAGATCAGCCAGACCAAGGTTAGAGGACATAGAAATGCAAAATAAATAATTAAGAAAGTACTCATTCTCAAGGACAAAATGTTACTTAGTGTAATTTAGAATAAAGAAATAGAATCCCACCATCTATTCCAGGAACTTCTAATCAACAACAAGTGTTCTATTTAAGGCATATTAATATAGGCAATACATTTATGCTGTAGCACCATTTAGGTAACTTCTAAGGTGACTTACATTTCCACATATCTTCTAAAGTGTGTAGAAAAACATGGCTCTTGGATCTGCAGTTCGGCTGTCTTGTCTGTGGTAAGGTCTCAATCATGTATAACATGCACATGCCTATTGATTTCAATAGGATTTCTGGATATGAATCAAGTGGAGAATATAATATACATACCTGTGTTGTGGGTCCAATACCAAGACTTTCCCCTGAGATGGCTTTAGTCCCACTGAAGCTAAGGGAAATCTTTCTATTGGCTTTAATAGGAGTTAAGTTGAGAGGAGGTACACAAAACATTGCACATCAGTTGTCAGTTAGGACACAGTAAATGCCTTAAATAACTTCTCAGAATATTTTACATATAAAAAACTCGAGATTTTTCTTCCAATTGGTTGAAATGCCTGGAATGAAAGAGATATTAGACTGTTTATATTTGCATAAATATATTCATATAATATAACAATGCCATTTGTAACAATGTATTCCTATTTTCTAGGTACCTTCATACTTCTAACCATGATATTGTTTGCAGTGAATGTAGAGGCAAACAAATTGTCTGTAGAGTTGGCTTCAAACTGTATGTTTTCTACAAGTCGATATGAAAGCTCCACAAACAGTTATGGATATTCATACTGGCTCATGTTGCTTATCCTTCTTTTGAATGTTGCAACTATCACCATCATCATTTTCTATCACCATGCAAGGTATTCCAAGAGGAAAGAACAGGAGAGACCCATTGAAAATGCACCAAAGGATGGTATTTTATTTTAGTGATACCAGTACTCTCACTTAAAGGTGATGTGGAAGAAAGTGGCAAATTAATGTGGATAATCATGATTGATCATTTAAACTCCATATGTAGATTGTTGTTCACTTCAGTTTATTGCGAATTCAACATTATCATTTTAGATCCATATTGCCATACATGTTTACAAACTATTTATTGATAAGGGCATCAGTTGAATGAAGCCTTTTAATGATCCCAACATGCACCATTTGTCTGTGGTCCCAGTAAGAATGAGCTTTATTTAGCTCACCTTCCTGATTCCTCCCATTGGGGAGTCCCTATGTAAAGGTAAGATTCTAGAAGAAACAGAGCAGCAACTACAGCACAGTGAAGACCAAGACTTTTCCATAGGTGGAACATGATCTAGAACTGACTATTGAGGGGATTTCCACAGAACTGCTACTGCTTGAGTGGGCAGCAGCAAAGTGTAATGGGCACTAGGACACAGAGATGTGGAAAGTGAGTGCAAGGAAACATTTTTTTCCCTTTCCATCTTCCTGCTGCTGCTCCTTCAGTCCTACCTCATTCTGCACCCTAATCCTGTTACAGCCATTCTCTCCCTATCCATGCATCATTCAGCATAGCCAGTTGAATTCTGGCTATTTTTGGCTCCTGGGGGCTGTTTAACTTACAGTGAGGGCTGAACCAGCACCAGGTCCAGAGTGGCCTAAAAGGTACAATGACCCTCTATTCTGCCCTTTGAATTCTGAGCTCAGTCAGATGCAAACACAGGGCCATTGTTTGGATTATACACACAATTCCTGATTGGAAAGAGCTAGATTAATCCAGAAAACATACAAAATCTTGACGATAATAAGATGAAGTCAGTGGGGCCTCGGTGTTTCACTCTCCACTGCAATCAGTTGACATTTCCAGTTTTTCCTCTCGTCTTTCTCTTATGTCTACTCTACAGAGTTTTGTTGGGAAAATGGCCATTTTCCCAGCAAAACTTGGGGAAAATCCACACTGCAATTGTGTTCTTCTGCAAGAAAATCGAAAGAACAGAGGAGGTTTTCCGGCATTGGTAATCCTCATTTTATGAGGGAGAAGCCTTTTTGCAAAAGAGCTCTTTCACAAAAAGGCGTGTGTGGACAGGGAAGAGGGAGTTGTTTCGGAAGAAGAGGAAAGAGGAAAAAGCACAGGTGCTTGGTGGCCATTCCGTCCATAGCAAGCACAGCTTACATGTGAGAGGGCGTCCATTAAGTCTGGATGCTCTCTTTCGAAAAAGCAGATGGCTTTTTCAATGCACTTTTTCAGTGCGGACGCTGTCTTTTGGAAGAAGTTTTTTCGGAAGATCTCTTCCAAAAAAAGCTTCTTCTGAAAAAAGCCTGTAGTCTAGATGTAGCTTTACTCCCCTCTTTGGTCCCGTTAGCAATATTGCCCTTCCATATTTAGAATTCACTGCTGCTCTACCAGTCCTTCTTGGTTACTTTATTTTGGGGGTATGGACTCACTTCTACTAACAACTACTCTCACAAAAGGCCATGAGGACTAGCAAACAATATGTACCCTGATGCAAAATCAGAGCTATTCCTGGAGTCTTGTTCCTGCCTGGAGTGGCTAACCACAGTTCTTGCAGTGTATATGATGACATTACGATAGAGGGATGTTATGCAATCAGAAATGGGGAAGCAGATAGTGATGTTACTTAAGAGTGAGATGGTGGGTATCTGCCAGTCAATCATTAACTGGTTTTTCACATTTGCAAACATTTTCTATAACCCCATTCTTTTGATTAACACCTCGGTTAGAGGTATGATAAAGCTGCACCTTGTACAGGTGTGGTCCTTCTGTTTCCTGAAAATAAAATTCTGCTTCCCGTTTGCACTGACGTCAGTCCCAGATAGTGGGTATTTATAGCAACAATATGAATGCCGTGGCCAAAACTCTCATTCACTACATGGAGCTGAATAAATAAAGTATAATGCATCTAAATAACAGAACAACAAAAACAAAATATTAGGGTTTTTTTCTCTAGCTTTCTAACATACTCTAATATCTGCAGGTAGGCCAAGCTAACTCCTTCTCTGTAGGTGCTGATAATGTTCACTTACTATTATTAGCATTTTCCTCTGGGCCAGAAGCTAGAAAAATACGGCATCCTGTAAACTTATGCTTAATGCTCATGTTGCATTGGGATGGATGTTCATAAAGTGAAGTGATCAGAATCTTCTCCTCTCTTGCCCCTCACCCCCAATTGCTGAGAGATCTTTCCAATGGACTAGCTGTATCACATTGTGTCCCTTTACCATACCTCATCATGTCTGATTTAGAGATGCATTCATTATGTGGAAAGTGTATTATGAAACACCACAAGGGCTATCAAAAAAAAAAAGTAATACTTGAATAGATACAGGAGTTTTTCCAAGAATGTGACTTCTCAGCAGGTTGACTCAAACACATAAAACCTCTTCTGTAGCTGTTGGTTATGTCAACCTAATTTTCAAGATTAAAAGAATGCAATATTCCAGTGTATGTTGCCCGGTAAATGTATAACCCTGCTGCAGAAATCCTATATTAGAACAGTTTATATAGAGCACATCAGTTCAAAGCAAGGGTGGCATCTGAAAAAAAGCTTGCGTCTTTTTATCTTTAAGAGATTAAATAGGTTCGTCAAACAAGAAACTGTTCCAGTTTTCACTCTATTATAAGACCCTTGCATAAAACCACTTTTCATTTCAGATGAGATGTCAGATACTTTGCACCCACAAGCTAAACTGGTACAAAGCCAAACATTTGCCAGTTTTGCTTCAGCTGCAAAATTTTTCACATAGCTTTAGTGAGCAACTGTCACAGCTTTGCTAAGCCAACATCTATCACACAACATGACTAAGCCTACATCTGTCATTTGGTACAACTGGAACTAAGTCACTGTAATAGAGCATTAGTAGAGGACCTGTGTCTCCTCCTTTGAAAATAAGAGGGTCAATATTACTTCAGCGTTTATACAACAAAATGCAGAAGACTCAGCAGTTTGCTTCTAATAAACATCCTCAGTTTTGGCTTCTTATCTGAACCTCTTGGTCTGCAAAATGAGGCTGAAAAGATCTTGTGCTTTTCTCATGAGATTTACAAGTTTTACCCCACTGACAATTTTTTTTTAATAAGGAACAAAAGAGAGGACTGTGCAGCACTTGGTTTATTAGGTGATGAGCTTTCGTGGGCCAGACCCACTTCCTCAGATCAAATTCTGGAAGAGAATTGACACGATCATATATACCAAAGGAATACAATGAAAAAAAGTGAACACATTATAAAACTGACAAATCAGAAATAGAACAGAAGGGGAGTGAGGAGGAGGGCTAGTATTTTTGAGATAATGATACTGGGGTGATAATTGGGGAAGCTATCTTTGTAATGGTAAAGATAGCTTCCCCAATTATCACACCCTAGTATCATTATTTCATAGATACTAGCCCTCCTCCTCACCCTCCTTCTGTTCTAAATCGGATTTGTCAGTTTAATAATGTGTTCACTTTTTTTCATTGTATTCCTTTGGTATATATGATCGTGTCAATTCTCTTCCAGAATTTGATCTGAGGAAGTGGGTCTGGCCCACGAAAGCTCATCATCTAATAAACCATCTTGTTAGTCTTTAAGTACTGCACAGTCCTCTCTTGTTTCAGCAAGATCAGACTAACATGGCTACATCTCTATTACTATTTTTTATGAGGGGCAGACTGACATCTGAATAGCAGCAATTGCCTTTGTAATATATTAGCCAGTTGAGATACTTATTCAATCTTAAATTGATAGTGGGGAGTTTGCAAATGAATTCCTGTTCAGCTGTTTCCTTTTGTAACCACTTTTTGAAATTCTATTGTTCAAGGATGACTACTTTCAAATCCATTACTGAATGTCCAGAGAAAACTGTTTGCATACATTATTGTGCCCTATTTTTTCCACTGAAAATGTATTGATTGTAATTTTCCTGCCACTTCTAGTCATAAGTTACAAGTTATTCCATGCAGACTAGAAAAATGCATCTGGTGATACCAAAAAAATTTACATGAAACAACACTGATGTACGTTACTAGGTAGCATCATGGTTTCTAATGCAACTGCTGTGAGTTTCCCACATTACTTACATAGAACATAGCCAGTTGTGTATTGTAGTAACAGTTCAATTAACTTACATTACAATGCTGAACCAAATATGTTGGGAATTATCCAGGATAGGGACCATGTCTTTCTCTTTGATACTAAAGATGTGCCTTGTAAACCTTTGGATGCTATTAAATAATCTATCATAAGATAGTATTACACATACAGGCCCATAAAAGAGGTAATAGAAAGGAATTTATGTATTCTGCAATAATGTCTATTTCTACTACAGCAGCAAAGAATCTGACACAGGATGACCTTGCATTTAGCCTTTAGGATAGCAAAAAGAAATTGGTTTGGCTGTTGCCGACCAGCCAACCCTAAAAATGAATAGAGCTGTATTCGGTACATTTATCCTCTTAATGAGAACAGATTCTGGCAGTTCTGCCTTAGGTGAAAAGGAAAAAGCTTGCACTATCAGCTTGACATGCTACTGAAATAAAATCAAGTGTCCATCGGATCCGAAGACAGGAGTGAATAATTTTGTAAATAAAGGAACTGCACATTTATCACTTGCCAACAGTTCAGCACAGCTTTCCACAATTAGTAATGTTTGGTCAGGTCAGAAGAGGGATCCAGTCTTGAGGTAGGCTAAAGAGGAATTCCCTTGAAATGTTAAAAGGTTATTTGGCTGATGTTTATCATGGTGAGATCAGGAAGCAGGCAAAACATTATTTGCACCCTTGCTTATCTTTGGAGAAGTTCTTATGTATTATGCGGGAAGCTGACCTAGATTCTTCCATCAAAGCTCCTGGTTTTTTCTACAGTCTGACACTGAATTTTGAAATACACTGGGAATGCTGCAACAGATTCAGGTACGATTAAACCTTCTCTACCAGTTAGCCTGTATCATAGCTGTGTGGGGCTGTCACAGGCAGAATGGGTCTCCTTTACAGGCTAGCATGGAATGCTCATGATAGGTGCAGGCAATGGGAGAGCTAATGGGACCCATGTTTAATGTATCCAATGG